TTTCTGAGCTCTTGACTTTCTCAAAAATAAAATAATTTTCGGACACTTAGTGGGGCTCACATATTGTAGCTGGAAATTCTTCTTTGGGGAGCAAGCCCTGTTCCTGTTCTGCTTCCCAGCTTCCTCTGGCTGAATGGAGACTTCTGCCAGTGTGCTGCTCCGTGGGAGCTTTCCGTGTTCCTTGGCTGGGTGCTGTAGTAAGAACACTGGTGGCATCTGTAACGTTTCCTAGGCCTGTTCTGGAATGAGTGCATGTTGACACTGCAGAATTATGGTTGCATGGGTCATTTTTGAGCATGTGCCATTCTGAAGTAGGTTTGAAAACTGTTTTCCATAAGTAGAATTACAGTTGTTGTCTTGATTGTGTGGTTTCTTAGTCAAGAAAGGTTAAAAGATGGTGCGTACTGTGGTGCTCCATGTGTCTTATCTGATGTGTTTTCTTTAGCAATAGGATTAGAGTGTCCATGTGTAAATGATAATTACCTTTAGAGATTCAGTAAGACTGAAATTAAAAGGGAAATAACTTCAGTGTGCTGTTGGCTGGACCCTTGTTGTTTACGTGATTAAAATTAGCTACAATTTGTCACATGATGCTGGAGTGTTTATGGATGTTTTGTGCCTTGAGTGTTTCAATTCCTGGGAACTGTAAATATAAGCATACGAAACTGTTAGGATGTTTATATGTCTAACTTGAAATCCAAAGCCTACATACTTCTATGGGTCAGGTTTACTGGTTTTATTAGTTAAGGTCAGAGTTAGAAGGTGAGACCAAGAAGCAATATATAACGTCAGTCTTCATTATGTTCCCATATAAGCAAGCAGAGGCAGTGAAGAATGAAATACTTTATGATAATTTACCTTAAACTTATAAAAAAAATCACCATTCTATTAAATTTATTTTTGGAATAGAGTGAACACAGTTTTATATTGAGTTTGAAGAAATGGGACATATTACTTGTGAAAGTAGAATGTAATCTACTTCTTTGTCCTTTTTTATAACACAAAATATGCTTATGTGCATTACATAGAAATTCTTAGTAACTTTATTTTGCTGAAATTAAACTAACGTAGCATTGTTATCCTAGTGATTAGATAATAAAGTAGAGAGAAAACTTCAATAATCAGATTTTGGGTTTTAATGGAGATGGGCACATCCGTTGAAACCACAAACGTTTTTACTTATTCAGGAAAGGAATAACTATTCATATATTAAACTCTTAATTTCATTGCTGTCTCCTGAGTCATGCTTCTCAGTTTCCTTCTCTGAGACATTTGATAGTTCTTACCTCTTCCACCTAGGAATTTTGAGGTTAAATCCTTTAATACAGTCTGACAAAATAATAATGAATATTGAGAATGAGTATAAAATTGGGACTTACTAATATAAAAATGTCTTAACTCTTCTCTGTACAAAATAAGCTACACACAATGGACGAAGAGAATTCAGCATAACAGCTTTCATGTTTGAAGTTCCCAGACTCACTTTGTGTTGCACACATGGAAACAGTGAGTTTACTTTCAGGGGATCATTGTCCTCCTCTAACTCGCATCTGGGGTCACTGAACAGAAGGGCAAAGACTTCACGTGAACTTGTTTTCCTCTTAGATTTTCATGTAGGAAGTGTTTGTGAAATGCCTTTGGTTTTATTTTGAGATATGTGAAGATATGTACAGAGAGAAAAAAGGAAGCAGCTTCTTGTTCCAGAAGTTAGTGGGAACATGAACAGTCAAGTGAAGCCAACAGATGAGGAAGACTTTCTTCTCTTGCACTTAGTGTCTCAGGCTTCTTGTCTGTCATTCAGGCTCTCAGATACTGAGGTAGTAAATATAAATTGGTGCATGTTAATAATAACTTAGAAAAATTGCAGCAGGTTTACTTGCTGGTAGGTATCACTAGGTATAGGTATAGATCAAATGTGAAGTACTTCCCATTGTGGCACTCACAAGAACATGCAGTTTTTAATGAAAGTGTTCATAGTTTTGTCGTATCATAAGCAACCATAAACATAGGGGTTTTTGGTTGAAGGTTCATGTTTTGCTTAATTTTGTCCTATTAAAGTCTGAGAGTTTACATCTTATGGCAAAGAAACACGTTTTCTTCAGCTCTTTTTTTTTTTTTTTCATGACCTCAGAAACAGACTTTTCTTATCTCAGATACATGACTGTGAGAGATGTGGCCAGTATTTCCTAATGACCAATTCAATAACTCACAGATCAAGTTCAAGCATGAAACTCAGCTAAAGAAGTCTTGGATAAGGCTCGGCCATTAGCCTATAAGGCTTTAGTATAATTTGGTGAGATCAAGCTATTTTAGGGTTTGCACACTTCAACAATATGCAAGGTTTATAAAGGCATTGTGATTTTGCTAGGTTAGTAGAGCCTACAGGAAAAAAAAGCCCACGGGAAAACTCTCAGATATGAAAATGTGGGTAGGAGCTAGTGAGAAAGCAAAGTGTGATGTTCTGGTGCTCCACTGAAATACACTGGGATCACAGAGAGTAGTCTTGCTATAAATGACTGATTCTACTCGGCAGCATTTATGTTCATGGCAAAGGTCTTGTTAACTCCAGCAAGAGCAGCAGAAGGCTCTCATGGATTTAATGGAAGCTAAATGTGAACTTAGTGCTTCAGTTTCATTTAAAAAAAAAAAAAGAGAGGAAGAGAATGTCTTGACTCATACAAAAAAAGGCTGTGAAATACAGTGAAAGCTGTATCTGTTCGGTGAAAAGTCAAGAGACTGATGCACTTCAACCAAATGCAGAAGAAATTGGAAGGAAAATAATAATTTTATCCCAGTCTGTTCTCTCTCATGCTGTGGACATCTTCTATTGCATGCTATGAATGATGTATATTTCATTGTCTTATAAATGATACCGATCCACACCTATCAAATTCTGTGAAAGGGATTAATTTTCCTAAGCTAACAAATCTCAGAAGAAATGAGATGGTGTTGTTTTTCATGTGGAAAGATGAAAGAACTAATTAGAGAGCTCAATATAGGTAAATTCCACTAGAGCAGATATTTGATCAGCTTGGTTTTGCAGAACTATTTTGATGAGTTGGTGATGTATGTGTTTGTATAGGCATACGATTCCTCTGCATGGTCAGAAGAAAAGGAAGACTAAATCTTAACAGCTTTTGTTGGTTAATTTTGTGTATTCTGGCTGCATGTAAGGTCCACAGAGCTATTGTGCAAGTGAGGGCTCATTAGAGAACTGATTGGCCCACCCTCACTGGAGTCAGGCATGCTGCAAAAGACCACTTGAGATACACAGAGTGATTAGCAACATGGAGTGGTTTAATTAGGATCTGATGAGTTATATTAACTTAATGCCACTATTATTCATCATAGCAATACTAGCTTGATTGTTAGCAGCTCTTCCCATACCTCCTGATGGACCAGGTTGGGTTGAAAGCATTGATTGTGGCTGCAGACAGATGTCTTGTTCTGGCGCTGGCTCTTTCTGTTAGATGTTATTACCCCCATCTCTGCTCTGTACCATTTTTCCACAGACATTTCTGTGGAAATTTTGACATCCTGCTCCCTTTATGCAGCTGCCTTTGTGCTTTTTGTGCTCTTCACCTGCTGCTGCTTTGCAGCTCTAGCCATGGCACTAGGACAGTAGTTTGAGACACCACGTACTGAAGAATATCAGGAAACTGCATGTGGGACTGAAAGTAACTTTTTTGTGATGTAAAGTAAAATGTAGTAATGGCCATGTTGTCTGAGGATAATGTTATCTTGAGGCTTTGGTGCCCTGAGTGTACAGGCACAGTGAGCATGGGGTGTGTAGCTTGTTATACCTTGATGTTGCCAAACCAACAAGAGATCATTCAGCAGTGTAGAATACGATCCCTTACTTTTGTTATGCAGCTGTTGACACAGGCAGAGTTGAAGCTCTTAGGCATCCCAGAACAGCTCCAGCTAGGAAGGTAGTTTGTCAACAGTAGCCTTTAGAAGCTGACTACAGAGAGTATAATACTAGGGCAGCAATGTTGTATTTTTACTACTACTCATCTTCTCTTGACCCAAATTCTTCCTAATTCGGCTGCTTCCTCTTCTCTAGCTTCTGCCTCACGTCTGTGCCTCTGCTCTTGTGGCATGCCTATCTCGTCCTACGCTTTCCATCTGTCCTCCACTCCTCCAGCTTGTTGAGGAGTAGGAGAGGTTCTATGTGAGCAGCTCAGGGCTTAGAGTGAGAGCAGATGTCAGAAAAGCCGTTGGACAGGTGGGAAGAGATAGATGGAAGGGGAGGGTATGGGACAAGGCAGTGGGTGAAGGATGGGAGGCGCAGGTGTAGAAGTGCAATCTGGAAGGCAGGGAGTGGTGGGGGTGGGAAAGGTGGTGGACTGAGATGAGTAGGAGGCACAGAGGAAAGGTTGCTGAGTGAGCAAGGGGCAGTAGTAAATGTGCCCTAGGTGTAGCGGGCAGGAAATTGGGGGTGGAGGATGCCTGCACCCCTCCTGGGCTGCCCGCACAGCACCCTAGCCGCAGAGCAGCAAACGCAGCTTTTGGGAACGGCCTTGAGAAGTGCTTTTAAAGCCAGGAGCTGGGAAGGCTCTTTGAATGCAATCGGCCGTTTTGCCTTTTCGTAGCTCCAGCGAGGTCCCAGTGTTTCGCCTCTGCACGACGCACCCTCCGAACTCCACCGGGCAGTGCCTCTTGTCAGCCCCGTTGTGTGTCAGCCCTTCCCTCAGCCCCCTCCGCTCCCCGAGGTGCCCCAGGCAGGGCCAGCGGCTTCCCGCAGGGCTCCCAGGCGCTGCCGATGCCTGGGGGGGGGCGGCCGTTCCTTTTTCCAGGGTTTTGGGTGACGGATGTCTGGCCTCCTGATGGACGCACAAAGGGCATGCTGGGGTGGGTGTGGCCACTCTGGCTGGAGTCTTTCCTCTCCTGGAATGCCTTTTGGAATGGGGCAGAAAACGCTAAAACCACGCTATGTTGTCCACTGCTTTACTGCATTTAAAAATCACTTAAATTTTGCCGGTCTCCTTTTCTTCTAGATGTTTTTGACAATGTGGCAGCCATGCTACATGAAGGTAGCTGGTGCTAACTTCAGTGACACAAATGGCAACAATAATTCAGCTGTTACCAATGCCCCTGGGCTTCCTGGTAGGTTTTTCTTATGGAAGTACTGAAGAACTTAGGGAAGTTGTATCACGTTTGTTTTGCTAGCAGTATGTTTATACTGTATATTTATAATTCCTAGCTATTAGTTTATAATTGCATTAAGAAGAAAACTAAGTCTGTTTCCTTTAAAGAGTTATGATGAGTTAAGAGTTATTTATTTTTCCTATCATAAGAAACTGAGTACAAAGATCATTTTCATTTGTTAATGCTGAACGAACCAAGCTTTACTGATTTCTAAATTCCAGTAACAGCATTACCATTGCACAAACTACCCAAATTTTATTATTTTTTTTAGCTGATATTGTTTTTAGGAGTTACTTTTATATCATGTTTTAGAAGAGTAACACAAGTTTGAAGTGAATGCAAAAATGAGGTTTGTTACTTGTTAATAAAGTTTGGATAGTTTCTGCACCACCAATTTCTGCCTTTTTTTTTTTTTTTTTTTTTCTGGTAAGAAATTTGGGAAAGGAGCCATGTAAAACGGGGGTAAGAGGAAATGGCCTCAAATTGCACCAGGGGAGATTTAGGTTGGAAATTATGAAAAATTTCTTCACTGAAAAGATTATCAGGCACTGGAAATGGCTGTCCAGGGAAGTGGTTGAATCACCATCCTTGGATATGTTTAAAAGTCATGTAGATGCAATGCTTAGAGACATGTTTTAGCAGTGGACTTGGTAGAGTTAGGTTAATGGTTGGACTTCGTGATCTTGAAGGTCCAACCTAAGTGATTCTATGATTTGCTTGCTTTTTCAGAGATGAAGAAGTAGATAGTTCCTAGCACAGGTCCTGAATTAATGTTCTGTGTTGTGAAAATCTATAGTCTGACATTGCCGAACAAAAATACTTGGTTTACATAAAATATTTGCTTAAGAACACCTAACTCCCCCCAAAACCAAGGTCAGTGCTGAAATGAGTGGAAGTAATTTTAGGAAATATAATGTTTTGGTAGTTCTCTGTTAGAATATTTTTCAAATTTTCTTGGAGACTGCTTGAATTCTCCCAGTGGCAACCCAGTAGAGCCTCAGCTGAGCTGAGCCGACCAAAGACAAACCTGGTACAAGTTTAAGAATTTTTTTAATTATAATGTTGGGGCAAGGGAGCTCTGCCCTTCCTTCAATGGTGACATTCAGAGCTATTCCATCACTTCCAGACCTAATGTTGAGGTTTTTTAATGCTTCTCACATGCATGTGCTATTGTGACTGTAGCCATGCTGTAACTATAATTGTGCTGCAGAAGCTTGTGACCAATGCTCCAAGTTCCTCAAAAGCTACAAATTAAGCTTTCTCATGTAGATTTGTAGTAGAGAGGGTTTCTAGATTTATTCCTCTTTTAAAACCAGAGATCCACATGATCCAGACTGAAGGAGTGATGTGTTTTGAAAGTGAGAGGTCTTCTGCTTTTTTCCAAATCTGCTTATGTTTTTCTGGAATGCAGGATGTCAAGTACAGCTGCATTTAGAAACTCTTCTTGGTTTCTTTGATTATTTCTGATGAGCACCATCACTTTTGCATATTTGAAAAAGGTAGATATGTTATATTTTTAATTAATCATGCGAGTCTAAAGAATTGATTTGGAGCCTTAAAAAAGTGTAATGAGTTTATGGCCAGTGCTGCAAAGGGTGTCTTTTAGGATGAATTATGTACCCTAAATAGTAGCTGGATGCATTTTAATGGTAATGTTAGAACTGTTCACACAGAGGAAGTGTGAAAGTTTGATCAAGTGACCTTTCCTACAAGTCACAAGATCTGCATGGATATTATGTCAATGGGACTTTACTCTTTTTTCTTCAGCTCCCAACAAGGATAGTTAAAAGGAGGAACTTTACACTTAGTGTCCTGCTTAGTGGATGCACTAGGCAATTCTTGGTGTAGCTGCCGATCTTTGCTGCATGCTTTCTTCCTGATGCTCTGTCATGGTAAACAGAAGGAGAAAAAAAAAAAAAAGCCTCTGTATTTCTTAAACTGAAGAATTTCATGCACCGTTGAGTGGTGGGGGCAAGTACCACTAAGATAATGACAGAATGTCTTCCCTGGTAGATGTGTACAGTAGAGATTGTTTTTCCTCTCTGTCATCACAGGTAGGGATCTGTAGTTGGCTGTGTGGTAATTAAGCCTGCTGTGCAATCCGGAGTCCTTGAAATAAGTGGGAAGAGAAAAGAAGCAGCTTCCCTCCCCTTGCTCAGCACTGAAATAAATGGCTTGGGTTGTCGGTGTGCATCCAGAAATACAACAGCAAGAGCTAGAGTGAAGGCTTGTCTTGTGCTTTCTCTTGACTTGTTAATGAGCATCCATAATTTGGCTTCAAAATTAATGAAGAGGTTTAGTCTCTGACTGCATTAGTAGCTATTTTTGTCAGTTGTTCTGCATCCCCCCCGAAAGTATACACCAGCACACGTGTGCATGCACATATGACCTGTTACAGTTTTTTCTGTTTATCAAATGGCAAAGGTGGATTAAAAGACTCACCTGAATCTTCACATTTCAGTAAATATTTGAGCTGAGACTAGAAAGCAGATACCTGAGGTGAAGAAAGAACAACTTACAAGCATTTGTATGTTAATTTCACAGATTTAGCAAGCACTCAGTGCATTTTCTATTGTATCCCAGCACTGCACTGACCCCAGGTGAAGAGAAGACCTGCTTTAGTAGCCTTTCTAATACTGATGGTGAGACTGGCTCCTGTTTCCGTGGGTTTATAGCCTGAATAAACAAGGTGGGGGGGATGGGGGGGGGGAAAGAAGAGAAAAAATGAACCAAAAGATAAATGGCCTGCCCAGTTTCATAAGGCATGTTGAGAGATGCAGGTCCCACTGCCCCAGGCCAGTGCTCTCTTCTCTCAGAGGCACTCTGCAAGCATTAAGAGAGGTTCGTTGCACTTGGATTAGTTGCAGATAAAATGGATGCTCTCTGCGGTAAAATGTGTAATAGAAATCAACAGCTAATATAATTGGTCTCCTTTGAAGCCAAGAAACATGGTATAAAAGAATAAAAGATATTTTAGTAGAGAGTCTAAAACTGATTCTGAAATCAGCATTTTGATCTTCAAGCAAATACCATTCAACTCAGTGCTTTGTTTATCTATTCAGGCAAAATGTCAATCTATGGATTGATAAATAGAATACACAACACTTGTAGAAACTTGCAATGCAGATTTTTAATCTCCATTTTGCCATTTGTTTTTTCATTGTTGATGGTAAAATGTTAGGATGATTCAAAATCCTTAGCAGACATATAGAAGGAAACTTCAATACTTCCACAAAGGGAA